ACTGCAAATCATTCAGTTGGTATATTTATTTGCTACCAAGCAACTACTTTTTCTATTAATTCATTATTATAGGAAAAATGCAAACTGAATGTTTTATCTCTTTGAAATTTTTTTTAAATATTTTGATTAAATTTAATCGACATGTACCTGTGAGAATCAGAAGGGGGCGGTACTAAATTACCAGTCGAGGTTCGCGCGTTTTCTAGTTTAGTATTTCTCAGGAAGTCAAAGCGTGCAGTCGTGATTTAGCTACCGGAACATTAAACAACTACCTATTTTGTCTATGAATAAGCCGATGCCTCAATAAAGTAATAAACTTGAAAAACGGATGAAATTTTACACACGTTCGAATTTCTTTGAAGATTGCCTCGATCAACTTATAATGTTGAACAAAATTTTATTCTATTTTGACAAAATTTAGGTGAAATTAATTCAGCTAGATAAAAAAGAATTAAACGAAGAAATATTTTTCAGGTGTGAAATGGCTGATGATAACAATAACGGAAGCCCTACTGAGAACAACAGACGGACAAACAGCAATCTTCCAATTCTATTTGCAAATGGGTATCCGACATCGCTGGAGAAAATGACTGCTGAGCAATTGGAAAGATTTGTTCCTTTTCTGGTTAAAAGTTCAAAAAATGGAACCGAGGAAACAGAGTTGTCAGTTCCTCTTTGGTGGTCAGACACTGTTGATTTCAAAATGCCATTAGAGAAACCGAAGAATTTTAGAAAGGTGAGTTGTGATAAAAATTTTCAATAATAAATCGAAAATTAAAGAAAAATTTTCTTATTTTACAGAACTGGGCAGCAACTCTTCGGAAATTGATTGAAGATTGTTATACATTCTTTAATCAACCTTTCCTTCTAAAGTACTCTAATGAGCTTTGTGAATATGATCCTGCCAATCTTCGATATGTTCGAGCTAGTGATACGACAACTTCTCTGTACAGTCGAAAACCTAAGAAACTTCTGCTTACCTTCAGAAACGAGAACATGGTAAAAAATTTATGAGATGAAGTTACTTTTATTATTATTTGTTATATTCATTGAAAATGTACGCAGAACCAATTACAATCATTTACACATTTCTCTCGTTATCCATGACTTCAATTGAAAATGGAAATCTTGCGTCATAAGTCCTAATTATCCTTAAATATTTCTGGATTAAATCGATCACAATAAATGCACGTGTCGTGATTACAGGAAAATAACAAGGATGATATTTCGATAAGCCTCTTGAATGAATCTCCAGGAAATTTGAAATTATCCTTAGAAGTTTAGCGTTGAAGCGAATATTTTGGTCAATAGGGCCTTTCATCTTCCCTTATCTCTTTTTTATATTCAATTCACTAATACAGTTCAACACTCGACTTATTTACTTATTAATATTAAAGGGATCGAAATACATACTTTCATTATGTATTTTTATTAAAATCCAAAATATTCTTCTTTTTTTCAAGAGCTCTGCATAAATTTACTATCTATAAAAAATATTCTGTGGGAACTTTGGATTATTAATAATGCACTCAAAGTAAAATACTATTAA